TTACCTGTGTCGATGAAGAAAGGCTTCTTTGTCGGGGCATCGCGTCCAGACTCTCCCGATCTGCCGACAAACAGCTGATCGGCAGATCGGGGCAGCCATTTAAATTTAAATGAAGCCGCGATTATTTTAATCGCGGCTTCATTTCCCCCTTCCGATCTGGCTAATCTACATGCCTCCGTCGACGGAGGCATGGAGTCTGGACACAGCCAGAGGGGCCCAGATTTCTGGGCCCCAAAAGTGAAGGGCCTTTTGTGGGGCCTCCTTAGCCTGGAGAGCTGGGCTGCACCACCAAAGGGGAGCTGTTTCAGGTAAGCACCCTGTGTTCCCATCCTCTGCTCCATCCCTGAGCCCCTTCCCACATCTTAACTCACACCCAGACTCTGCATCCCAACCTCCTGCCTTGAACCCCATCTCACACCCTACCTCCCACCCAGTCCTGGCACCCCAAACTCCTGCCCTGAACCCCCTTTTTACCCTAACTCCTGCAATCCACCTCCTGCCCTGAGCCCCCCCTGCACTTCAAACCCCTTGGCCCTGGTCTGGAGCTCCCTGCTGCACCCCAAACATCTCATTCCCTGCCCTCCCATACCCATATCCCCACCATCCAAGGCCCTGCCTCAACCCATAGCTCCTTCCTACATTCTGAACCCTTCATTTCTAGCCCCACACCAGTGCCTAGGGGTCCCACAAAATCTAATAGCCCCTGACCCCCAAAAGAGTTAATCCAGCCCGGTGTAGTATTGGCATACAGAAACTGACAAGTGTTACTGGTCAACATCGGGATATTCTATGCTTCTTTTTCCTCCACCCTTTTGACTTGCAGATATAAAGCAATTGAATGGAAATTTTATTTCTGGATTACCAAACCTAATACTGGCCAGTTTGCACATCCCCTTGACAGGCTTGGCTCCGTGTTGCCAAGCAGCAAAGTATATTTTACCATGGTGTGGACTCACTTGCCTTTCATGTATACAGACTGTCATGGTCTGTAATTCTACTTGTGATTAATATGTCTTAGCTGAGAGACAAAACATTGGGACCCCTGGTGTCACATGACCAGTCTAGGGCAAGTTTTGAGACAGTGTTTCTGGGCGTTGCCGGTCTTGTGCTATTTAATTACTGTTTGCTTAGCCAGGAAATGAACTCTGAGATTGACGACAGTGTCCGGAGACCGACTTCTGGGAATAGCGGGATGCAAGGGGTGCAGGTCCCTGAACTATCAACTTTCTAAAATAAAGCCCAGATGATTATTAAAACATAACTGAGTTAACACATTTGTAGTTATCTTTACTGTGTACACTTCAGCCCAGCAGTTAGCACTTTTGTACCTTTCCTTCCCAGGAGGCGGCTTCAGGAGCTGTGTACTCCAATCCATGCAGTTTGTCTGTACTTAGCAGATGGAAGCAATGGATCTAGACAGAGGGTTCTGGCTCAACGTCTAATTGAGTCTTCTTGTTGTTATTAGCCTCATTTGTCCCACAATCTAAAATACATGCTATATACAAGCAAACAGCTCTTGTGATTGCCTGCTCTCAACAGTCAACAGAGTTTTCATCTGGTAATGATGCTGCTCCTACATCAGAATATCAGAGTTTACTTCATGACAGAGAGATCTCTGTGCCCTGGTCTACACTAGGGAGGTATTTCAAAATAACTTCCCTTATTTCAAAATATCAAGCAGAGTGTCCATATTACCAAGCCCATTATTTCAAAATAAGGGGCTGGTTATTTCAAAATAATAACGCCTGCTTTCCATGAGGAATAGTGCTTATTTCAAAACAGTTATTTCAAATTAGCAGTAGTATGGACACTCCACTGCT